TTCTTATTCATCATGGACAAGTAAGTCAAGCTAAATTGTATCTAATTTCCGTATTAAATTAATAGTGATTTATTTATTTATTTTTGTAAATTTTAAAAGCATCACCTTTTATATTATTCTATGCAATTTACTGATTTCTATACTTTCATAATTGCTATTTTTCTAAACTACTACAGTTTATACTCCTACGTAGCTTAAACGGAATTAGAGTCTATTCTGCAATTCAACTTAGTTGCTGACACAAAACAGCCATTTTCACCAAAAAAAAATGATTTTCATTAAAAAAAAAGAAACTGTAGATTGTTAAAGTTTTTATTATTACTAATTTATTTATGTCACAATAAATAATAAATAAATAAGTAAATAAATTACAATTAATAACTATTTATTGCTTTTGTGCTGTTGTAAACTTTTATGGTACATACATTATTATACGTTATTGATGCCTTACCCTATAATGTTATATATCTAAATGTGGAATATAAATTCAAATGTGTTTAATCAGTCTATTTAAAAATGAGACACATTTATTTGAAGTAAAAAAGTTCTGAAAATATTATTCAATATGCATAATATTTAATATTTTTTTATGCTCACAAAACTTTAAAAAGTATAAACACAAAATTTATTTTCATATCTCAGCACCAGTAGTGTAATTAGGGCATAGTTTTCTTGTTCTCGTTCTTTTATGCAGTTTAATATTAGGTGTCCCAAAAATAACTAATGACTTAAAAAATCATTTCAAGAAAAATGTTGGGAAGTAGAATGTATAGTATACCGTTTTCTGCATATGAAATCAGGTCATTTATCTCGATCATGTTACAAAGTTTATTACAGTTGTAGAAAAACTTTAGGACAATGTTTTACTGCAATATTTAGACATCTCCTATTTTTGTGCTCAGGTGGTGATTGCTGTTAATATGGGTTATTTTGTGAACATAGGTTTATTGTTTTTCCCAATTAGCAGCACTCTCTGCTGATGAACTTTGTAACTAATTTTGAAATTTGATTGGAATATATATCTGGTTTCATAAAAGGACCACAGCATACCATATATTTCTATGTTTCACCTTTTTTTAATGGTTGGGCTACACAATTCCTACTACTTCATAAAACCATTTTGTCAAGAATAAGAAAACAAAACATTCATATATTTTTCTTTTAAATCATCACCTAATTTCAACAGGAATTGTTCACTGCGTGCTTCTAGTCAAAGCTACTATTTTTGTTAAAACTGAATATTTGATGTTTGCAACAAAAAAAAAAATGTTTAATTTAAAACTCCTGTTCAATTTAGTCTCACTTTCACGTGTGGCACGTTTGCTCGTATTAACTGCATACTTTTTTTTTTGTTCTTTTTAGAAAGTTATATTAACCCAGCTGGATCCATGGCGGTTAGCTGATGCTGCAGCTGATCTCTACGCCTTTGCAGCTGTTCTGTCTAGATGTTCTCGGTCCTATTGCTTAGGAATGAAGAACTCTCATCAAGAAGTAAGTTTTGGGTCTCAAGTTATCTATTTTTGGTTTGATGTTTCTATTTATTAGTTGCACTGTTCCAAAGCTAGCATTTTTTGCTTATATTTGTGCACCTTCAGTTATTAAATTACTAGTAATTCTTATAGACTTATGTAAAATTATGGGTTCTTAGGAGCCAGATGTAACATATGTGTTTTAACTGTATAGAAATAACTGTGATTGTAACTGTGACGTGATTGATGTTTTGGATTGCTTGGAGGAGGTCATAGTTCATGTTCAGTACTTGCTCTGTTCTGGTCTAGTATGTTACTGTTTAATTTATACTGTATAATATATATCTGAAACTTTAAACTTTTCATTTCATAGAGTAAATAAAGAAATAGACTTCCATATTTCTGTGTCTCTTTTTACTTAAAGGAAGTCACTATTTTAAATATGAATTTGCTACCTTTTTATCTATTTATTTATGTTCACATTTATTATTATTCTGCATATTGGTACACAATACAGAGAATTTTAAAACGAGAAGAATTACAATTAAACAATCAAGAAAAGCAACCATGTAATTTGATACTCAGGGATATTTTAATGTTCTCCTTCAGCTTCTAATAGAGAAAAATAAATGTATGCATTTATCTTGGTACTCTGTACCTCGGTTAAATGGACACTCTTAGTACTGAAAAAATTGTCTGCTTACGAGAGTTGTCTATTTATGGGAAAAATACCCTAATAATGAAGTTTAACACCGTAAATTGTTTTTAGAATATTTTCAATTATATAGAAATAGTTAAATAATCTGCAACTCTCTACAAGGATATTTATTTAAACTTTAAAAAAATATTTTTACTATGCAAAGAGAATACTTTAGAAAGTTTGATATAAATATAATTCTAGATACATACATACGAGGCCTGTCTAAAAAGTATTCGACCTTAATTTTTCCTGCGCAAAGTAGTGACTCTAAGGTGGCGCCTTAGTGCACAGTGGAAGGAGGAACCCTAATGCACACGACTGAATTTTTTCACTGTGTTCGCTTGTGCAACTCGCTGGCTGGTGGCCGCCAAGTAAGGTGCTGTTCGTAGTGTTCATCGGATTTAGTTTTCTCGCAAGATGGCTGAACGAATTGAGCAAAGATACTGCATGAAATTCTGTCAAAAGCTTGGTGATTCTCGAAGCCAAACAATTCGTAAGATTCAGCAGGTGTTTGGAGAAGAAGCGATGGGTGTAACACAAATTAAGGAGTGATTCTACCGATTCAAAGATGGCCGCACATCAGCGGAGAATGAGAAACGTTGTGGCAGTCCTCAAACTGCTCAGAGTGCAGTTAATGTTGACATGTTGTGAAATTTGGTGATGGCAGATCGTCGTTTGACAGTGCGGGAAATTGCAGAAGAAGTTGGAGTGAGTAAAGATTCTGCACATGCAATTTTGCATGAAGATTTGAACAAAACATGAACCGAGTGGCTGCAAAATTCGTACCAAAGTTGTTGTCGCCGGAACAAAAAGCACGCCTCTGCACATTCATCCCAATTGATCCACACTTTCTTAGCCAAACATGGAATTACAACCGTTCGCCAACCTCTCTACTTTCCGGACCTGGCTCCTTGCAACTTCTGGTTGTAACCAAAATTGAAGACGCCACTGAAAGGATCCAGTTTTGAGAGTAGAGAAGAAATAATGCTGAACGTGACGACAGAGCTGAACACCATTCCAAAAGAAGACTTCCAGAGGTGTTTCCAGCAGTGGAAGGATCGGTGGGCAAAGTATGTGCAAGCACAAGGGGCCTACTTTGAAGGGGCTTAGGGTCCCAACTTCGTCAGGTATTCGAAATATTTTTTCCGGCCAAAGGTCGAATACTTTTTAGACAGGCCTCGTAATTCTAGATAATACATAAGGCAAGGTGACAGAAAAAAGATTGATTCTTTAGTGGTGATATAGCTTAACATTATTTTAATTATGGGTAAGGCAAAAAATTTGCATGCTCTAAAAATGGGGAAAACTTGCGTAATTTCTTTCTTGCAGAAAAAGTTTTTTTTTTTTTTTTCAAATTTAAGAAAAATAGTGTTTGGTGTGAAGAGATGAAGTTTGAAATGAAGATAAAACAAAGAAAAATTACGGACATATGAAAAGGATGGAATTTTATTTTTAAAAAAAAGCGAGATAATCTTTTCATCAGCCCACACGATTATATCCGCTATTTTTTTTTAAACAGTTTGTTATTTTTTTAATCATTATTTTCCTCCCCTTTTTCATATGTCTATAATTTTTCTTTGTTTTATCTTCATTTTGAGCTTATCTAATGAGTATTGTTTACTTGCAGCTTATGCGCAATAAATTAAACTTATTGTTTTTCTTAACTTTCTTCGTGTTTTCTTGTATTTATTTATTTATTATATATATATAACTTTTATAAAAACAGTGATTCACTGCCCGCCATCAGCTGACCATTAACCAAATACACAACAACTGATCAAATTACACAGGTTTCTCTGTATTAACTTTTTTTAAAACATAGTATATTAATGTGATTAATGCATTTTATTGTTTCTTTCCTTTAGCTTATACTGGCAGGCGCCTTTTGTCATGATATAATAGATAAGCTGACAGAAAATATGGGCGCTATTGTTTTAGGTGACTTTTTTCTTTATTCTTTCTTACCCAATATAATATTAAAATATTCCCAGCATTTTAATATGACTTTTAAAGACGTTACACTTTCAATCCTTTAATAATACTCATCTAAATCTATTGTGAATTCAGACTCACTCTTTCAATGTTTTATAAACAAAACTCACTCTTTTCATTATCATTCATCATTGCTGTCAAGCTCAGTCATTGTTATGTTTTAAATTTTTTTTAATAATTGTATTTTAAATTTCAAAAATATAATTTTTTTTACATCACTCCCAAAATCGCAACGGGAGATGTATGCCTTTTGGCATTTTTATATTAACACTTTTTTTTTTAGTAAAGTTAATAGTAACCTCACTGGAAAACGCCTTTTTAAGATGCTTTTTAATATTCATCTAATAAAACAATTTAGTTGTCTCTAATATTTTTTTATGTTTAATAAAAATCAACACTTTAATAGTTATTTTGTTTGTTTTTTTTAAATTTATCATACTGCAAAAATTACAAGATATTTTTTTTCACTTAGCTGAGGTTTTTTTTAAATTCTGCCTGTTTTCTTTTACTTTTTTTTTTAGTACTTAAAAAATTGTTTCAAAAATAAGTTAGTATTTGTGATTGCTAAAAAAAGTTGTTAATTTTTAATAATTATTGCACAATAAACATGTAATATTTCTTTTTTAATTTTATTTTACCTAATAATGTCTCCATTTTTATTTCAAATTCATAGTTGTAAGAATGATGGCATTAATGTGAATTATTTATATTAAATGTCCATTATTAAATATTCATTGTGTCGATTAGAACCCTGATTATTTTTTACCAGACCCAATCAGAAATTCAAATATTCATTTAACAAACAAACTTAATATTATAATAATTAATTAAATTAATTTAACAATTAAATAAAAAGTTTTACTATTTGTGGGGGAAAAAAAACTCTTTACATAGAAGAGTTTTTTTTCGCCAATAATAAAAATTGCAGTAAGTAAGCCTCTAACTATGCTGTCTAATATGGCGGAAGGGCAGGCCAGACAGCAAAATTGCCTGATAGGACAAAAGTTCAATTGCAAGATAGTATAAAGGTCCAATTTCCTATATAATAAGAAATACATAATGTATACTTTAACATAAAAAATTTATGTGAAAATTTATGACTAGATGGAGTTGTATAAAGGATCCTTTTAGCATTCCTCATTTTCCCACTTCAGCGATTTATAGTAATATGCAGTTCCCATGTTTCTTAAGGTTTATCAGGCTGGATAGCACCAAAACCAGATAATCAAAAGATAATTTATAGTAATATGCAGTTCCCATGTTTCTTAAGGTTTATCAGGCTGGATAGCACCAAAACCAGATAATCAGAAGATAATTTATAGTAATATGCAGTTCCCATGTTTCTTAAGGTTTATCAGGCTGGATAGCACCAAAACCAGATAATCAGAAGTTAATTTATAGTAATATGCAGTTCCCATGTTTCTTAAGGTTTATCAGGCTGGATAGCACAAAAACCAGATAATCAGAAGCCTACTGCATATTAATTCCAGATTTTAATTTTAGTAAAATTAATTGATCGATTTGTTATTTGATCAGTTCATAATTTGAAGCAAATAAAACATGTACTTTTAATCATACTTTCAGTTAAGTTTTTAATTCTTCCCACAGCATTCGTTTAACGCAAATTTTAGAATGTATGTTATTAATAATTTTAATAAACTAATTATTATCAGGGCTGATTGTGCTCCGGAAAAATCCAGATTTCCGGAATTTTTGCTAACAGTGATCCGGAATGCTTCTGGAGATCGAAGGTCCAGATGTTTCAAAAAATCATTAATCACAGAAGTTTCCGGAAATCAAATTTTCAAAGGTGGAACTTAAAAACACAGTTTATTTTATTTGTTTGTAAGGGAGAGCCAGAGAGATACTTAATAAGCTTATATTTGTGATTAATATTCATTTTTTATCAGTAAACAGTTGTTATAATCATAAACTCAAGAAAGAAAGACATATTTATAAATTTTAATTACTTCTCCAGGTCATCATAGGTATGTGTAAAATTTTAAATATATTTTAAGCAAACTAAGAAATACTGAGAAAAAGGAAGAAAAAAAATTGATTAAATTTTTTCTAATTTTTCAATTAAAACTGTTTTATTTATTTACTTATTTATTTATTTATTTTTTTTGAACTCAAGAAATTTTTTGGAATTTTGACTTCGGCTCACAATCACCCCAGTATTATAGACTAATTAACTATAATGAAAAATAATCATTTTATAAGAATGTGTGTTTTATCTAGGTTATGCAGAGGCAAAAACATATTGAAAGCATTTTTGAAGGGAGGGTGAGAAGAAAGAGAATTAAATGCATCATTGTATTAAACTTCTTTTTTTTTTACTGTTTTTTTTATTTATTAGACTTACTTCAACTTAGATTAACTTTCTATTTCAATTCATAAAAAAATCTGTATGACATGCTTTAAAATGGGATTTGTTTACTCTATTTTCCACGTTACACCAAAAAAGCGTTTTAACAGTGTTTTGCATGTGTTGCAACTCAATAGATATCTAAATATCTCGATCAATCTAGATACCAAGAAGATGTCTCGATCAATCTAGATTACTGGTTCAATTCTTAATGCTTGAAGCCTGTCTCGCCTAAGACAAAACAAGGAATTCTAGCACTACCTTTCTTCTGAATGACTGTTCATCCTTTTATTCATGACAATAACAATGGAAGAAAAGTTGCAAAATTTAATTTCTTATACATAATTCTTGCACTACCTGTCTTCTGAATGACTGTTAATCCTTGTATTCTTGACAATAACAATCGAAGAAAAGTTGCAAAAATATATATCTTATATATAATTCTGCCTTTCTTCTGAAAGACTGTTAATCCTTTTATTCTTGACAATAACAATCGAAGAAAAGTTGCAAAAATATATTTCTTATATTAAAGGAACGTTGATGATAATCTCCTTTAGTTGCATAAATATTCAGAAAATTTTTGAAAAAAATTAATTTTATAGTTAAAATGATTAGGTCATTTTAAAATGACTTAGGAGTGTTTTCATGCCTATAAGCAACAGTGCTAAAAGTTATAACTAAGTCTAATCACAGAGTATAGAAATGAGTCTCGCTGGCTTTATTTAGCCATTCTGATTGTTCCCTATCAGCAATCCATTGAGCCCCGTTGAGATTACTATATATTTTTTACATATCGTTTAATTACAAAATCACACTGATCAATGTTTTTATATGCATTTTTCATAAAATAATTTCATCTCTCTTTCTTCTTTGTAGGTGTAAATGAAAACAATGAAGCCAATCATTTAAATATTGGATCAGAAATTGTTGATTGTAAAGGTTATTTTGCAGAGCATCCATTAAAACATAATTTTTAGATTATATGTGATAGTTTTTAATAAAATTAATCAATTCCTCATCATGCTGCTTCCATTCACTTAATTTTAATGACACACTTTATGACTGTGTTATTTTTTTCTTAAAAAATTACATTTAATGGGAAAAACTTATGAGCCACATGATTTAAAATCTGAAAACATGTATTATTAAAGTATTGAAGTTGTATTGCAATAAAGTTACAAAAATTCACTATTCAAATTTCAGATACTTGATATAAATTAATAGAAATTTTAAGACCATGAGAAAAACTAAAATATAAGTAATTTGCAATGTGTGCATGATGTGTAAATAAAATTTGCATTTAATTGATTTTGTGACATCAACAAACTGAGAACAATAATAGAATGAAAATGTTCTAATTCATGATTCAAAATCCTTACAAATAAATTTTGCTCTGTAGTGATGGGAAAATTACTGCTCAATTACGAGACTATGCAATCTTGATTTTCAATTATAAAATTTAAACCATGGATAATGAATTGGGATACATTGCTTAAAAAAAATGACTATTACTATAGTTCACATGAATTTTGTGTTGCAATATTTATAAATTGATTTTATAAATTGAATTATGTAAATTAGTTTGCAAGCTACTCACTTATACTTTTTAACTTATGTCGCATCTAATAATATTTCTCAAGTAAATGTACTCTTATGAAAACAGTTGAAATTTTAGGTGATTTAAATTTCTAATTTAATCTAACATAGAGTCTCGGTGCTACCATCTAGTGTGGCAGAAACTAGACGTCCAAATTAACATGACCAACGGTATCTCACCCATTGTGGTGGTCCTGAAAGAGTGGATACCACCTCTGGAGAACGCACTAGGTCTGCTCATCGGCAAGACCGATTGTGCAGCTCATTGGAAATAAAATAAAAAATTTCTAATATAATGCTAACAGGGACTTAGGGCCAATTAGTTCAGGCTAGTGAGTTTACACCATCTTTTCATTGATCTTACAACTTGTATAAAATCTTTTATGGTTGGTGTCACCTTGTGTTAATGCTTCAACAAATTCTCATTTGGAACAAGCAAAAAAATTTCAAGTTTTTACAACTTACAAAACATAACTATAAAAAGAAGTTTGTTACCCAAAAATTCTGTTTTCTCTCTGTTTCTTTAAAAATAATCTCTAAAAGTGGAAGGGAAATGCAATTTGCGAAGCAAATGATTCTATAACTAGCATATTTTTAGCATCATAAAAATTAACAAAACCATTCATGATACCCCTGTGGCAGAATTTTTTCGCCCTTTCTGCGACAAACTTCCCTAGCACTAATATTTTGCTTTAAGATACTTTTAGTTATACGAGGTTTGCTATTTATATTTCTGGCCTAATAATGAAAAAACAAATATGTAGGATCGAAATTGGTTTTATTGTTTTTCAAAATATTCTCCATGATGATCAATACACTTTTGCATGCGTTTGAACCAATTTTCAAAGCACTTTTTCCAGTCCGATTGAGGTAACTCCAAAACATGCGTTTTGAATGCATCAACCGCTTCTTCGGGGGTCGAAAATCGTTGTCCACGTAATTTATTTTTGATGTGTGGGAATAAGAAGTCATAGGGTGCCAAATCAGGGATGACCCATCAGTTCGATCTTTCGCTCCGTCAGAAATGCCTTTGTTTGAGTCGATGTGTGAGAGCTCGCATTGTCATGATGAAGAATGATTCGGCTGTTCTTCTGCTTTTTTCGAATTTCTCCGATGACTTCTGTCAAACAAATGATCGTGTACCATTCAGAATTAACCGTCCTGCGTTGCTCTAACGCCACTGTTGCCACATGACCGTTAATGCCGAAGAAACAGG